TGCAATAAATCTCTTAACATGTTCATCTCGTACTGGTTCTGCTCCTCTGGTTGAATCCTGAATAATATAGAAAGTATGCAAAGTGAGGACAGAAGAGAGCTAAGAATGCTCAGGAAAATATGATCATTTAAGAAACATCAGAGGAAGATGAATCTGTGAAGGAGACCAAAGAGAAATCCAGAGGATGTGGAAGGAAATCAAGGACAGGGAGCTGTTGCAGAAAGTGAGGGACATAAAACTGGTCAAGTATGCCAAATCCCCATAGAAGTCAAGTGATAGCCAGCCTAAAGGGAGCATCTGAAACATGAGTGCTATAGCTTCGGTAAAGGAGTGTCAGGGAGGGAACCCAAGTGCACTGGGCTGAGGAACAGATGAAGACAAGGAAATGAAGAGGAGGGATTGTTCCTCAAAGAAGCTTACCTACGACAGATAGGAGGATGAAAGGACATTAGCTAAGGGAACTTAGAAAAATGGAAAGTTGGTGGATATTGATTGTAAGATGTCAGATACTTGAGTATGTCTAGGCACGTAAGGGACAAAAGCAGTGGAGAGGGAGGGATTACAGACAGAGCAGAAAGGAGGTAAAAGATACCGCAAAGACCCCAGGAAAGCAGGAGGCGATGAGATCCAAAACACAGGAGCAGGGATTTGCCTCGGACAGAGGAAGGAAGCTCTTCGACTGAGACGGAATGGAATGAGGGGAGGGTGGCTGCCAATACACATGTGTAGGAGAAGGAGCATTCCCAGCAGCTGGACTCTAGCGCCACAGTGAACTACTGGGTACGACCATTGCTGCCCATGAGGGGAATATGGTCAGGTAGAGGGCTTGGGCATTAGTATTGATTACAATAGGTTTTTTTTTTAATGAGAAATGGGAAAAGAAATTGGCTCTTTCTGGGAAACAGGAGAGACACAGAGAAACCAGGCAGAAATGGGGTCAAATACACTTGAAGGTAGTGACTTTGCCTTGACAAAGATAAAATTGGTTCTATTCAGCAGCATTCAATTATCTGGGTACAGGAACAAGGAAGATAGGTTACTGGCTTGATCCAGGGTTAAGATTTGGTGAAAGACAGTGACAGAAAGACAAGAAGGCAAGGCAGTTGAGTGTATTGTCAAGAGAGGCCAAAGTGATGGCTCATGGAGTCTAGGCTAGGCTAGGTAAGAAAAGAAGAGTCTGGGAGAAAACGAAGGACCACCAGGTAAGGTCTGCAAATGTCTGCAGAAGTGGTGTAGTGGAGGGGCCGGCTCTGTGGCATAGTGATTAAGTGCACGCGCTCCACTGCTGGCGGCCTGGGTTCACATCCCAGATGCACACTGACGCACCGCTTGTCAGGCCATGCTGTGGCGGCGTCCCATATAAAGTGGAGGAAGATGGGCACGGATGTTGGCCCAAGGCCAGTCTTCCTCAGCAAAAAGAGGAGGATTGGCATGGATATTAGCTCAGGGCTGATCTTGTGGTGATCACAAGATCAAAAAAGAAGTGGTGTAGTGGAAAATGCTAGCAGAGTGGATCAAAGCACAGGATCCGGGGTCAGGCTGTCAGGATCATCCTGGCCCTACCAGTTAGCAAGGTATGACCTTAGTCAATTTGTTTAATCTTTCTTTGCCTTAGTTTCATCATCTGTTAAGTAGGTATGATAATATACCTATGGTTGCGAAGATTAAATAAAATAATTCACAGGAAGTAGGTAGCTCTACTGGCCTGGCACATATTAAGTGTTCATTAAATTTTAATTTTTGCTAGGAGAGCAGACAGCTGTATGTGTGGGAAGTTGTAACAAGAGTGGGAGAATGGGTGTTTAAGATGTCAGAGGTGGGACTGTCTGGCAAGGTCCGGGGTGTGGGCGTGGGTGGGCATCACAGCATTTGTTGCAGGTGACGTCGCAGGAGGGGGTGAAGAGAACATGAGGTTAGGACCCTGAGTGTCACACCCATGGGCACACTCATGGTGTTGGTAGGACCCAAGGACATGAATCAAGGGCTGAGGTAAGAATTTCTCACCCCAGGACCACAAACCCCAAAGCCTGGTGAGAGGGGAGGCTGGAGTGCTAAAATTTTAAGGTTTTCACAGTGAAAGGTTAATGGGCCCTAATATTCGGGAATTATGGCAGTTGGTATACATTAAATGACAGAAACCCTTGAAACTACACATCTTCAGAAGATATGGGGCAGCATTCCAGGTGCCCAAGGCAGGAAAAGCTATCTGTAAGACAGGTCTAAAAAGAGTCAAAGCTTGGGGCCAGCCTGGTGCTGTAGTGGTTAAGTTCACACGCTCCGCTCTGGCAGCCCGGGGTTCGCAGGTTCGTATCCAGGGCGTGGACCTACACACCACTCATCAAGCCATGCTGTGGCGGGCATCCTGCGTGCAAAACAGAGGAAAACTGGCACGGAGGTTAGCTCAGAGACAATCTTCCTCAAGCAAAAAAGAGGAAGATTGGCAACAGATGTTAGTTCAGGGCCAATCTTCCTCACGAAAAAAGAAAAGTCAAAGCTTTTCTCACACCTCTAACTGTCTCCCCAGGGCTGAGCTGGCCATCACCTGCCCCACCATCCGTACATCTAAATTCCATCTCCAGAATAATGTTCTAGATGACTGAACTACGTATGCCAGGATCCTTTTGCATGCATAATATTTTAAAATAGTATTCATCTCAAAAGTGACCCTCCATTTTTTAAGCAACGTTGCTCAGCCCTCAACATCAATTATAAAAACTGCATTTGAATTCCACACTCTGATTTTGCTCTCAGTTCCAATGAGCACACCATAGCCCTCTTGATGCCATCCTCTCTTGAATCTTCAGTCCTTTCTTCTCCTGAGTGAATTAAACCCAAAACCACCAACTTTTCTTTTGAGGTTTTATTTTTCAGTTCTTTGACCAGCTCTAGGTTTGAACGAAGTCTTAAATCTCCTTAATCCTTTTAGTGATAGATTTAAGCAAACTATTGTTTCAGTAGGTTGGCATTTCAAAATGATGGTATAATTCTTTACTTTTCATCTATTATCAGCCTTAATCTGATTGAGAATGGGGTAGTTGAGAATGGGGTAAGAGGATGGATGGTGCTGTTATGTGAACTATCTAACTTCTTTTGTTTTTTTAGTTGAATTTATCCCCTTCTAACAAGTTTTAGTCCTGGATATCTTTAGTCCTGGATAATTGTAATATATATATTTATATTTAATTTACATTTATATTTCTTTATATTTACCATTAAAAGTCCTAGTTAATTTACAATGATTCTTGTTTCTTTCTGACACATCTAATGTTCCCCACGGAGTTGTCTTTGCACATATTTGAGGATTCTTCATTCTTTTTAATCCTAGTCTGCAGTGCTATATAAAAATTTATAAGAAACTCTTCTCAAACCCAAAACTTCAGGTGCTCATTCAAATGACAATAAGATATATCTGTTTGACTCAAGCACTTAAATATGATATGACTAGGAACAGAGTTTTTTTCTTAGCCCCCTCTTTTTGTGTAACAATGTTTTATTACAAAACAACGGCCTACGTACCAAAGATCTCCTAAAAATTTTAATTATAATTTAGAATACACCTGTCTTTTCTTTTCTTTTCGTTACCATTATCTTCTATCTAATGGAGAGCAGCCCTGAAATTACTAATGACTTCGAAAAACAATTTGCTTTTAAAACATTCCCCCCTTCTGTAGCCTTTACTCATTACTGATAGAATTCCTGTAAAATGCAATAAGCAATTACGGAAACCAAGGGCACCAAGCTACAAACACAAATGGTAGGTGAAATGAGCTTCATAATACGTATTTGGAGGCTTCAATGATAGTTTTTAGTTCCAGAGCATAGATAAGGATAAAAGACCTGACACTCCCAAGCCAAGAAAAAAAAAAAAAGGAATAAAGGCATTTTTTTTTTATGATGATTTCCCAAGAGAAAGATTCATGCTATTGTAGAAGTTCATAATAAATAAAGAGCCTGTTTCAAAACTCAAGTCAGGATTAAAAAGAGAAATTAGTTCTTCATCCTTTCAATGCCCAAACAGAATGACCTGCATCTTTTATTTTCATAGGGATTTCTCAAAGGAATGTAAGCTTTTTAGTCACTCTCAAAGGTACATCTCCAAAGCATTAAGTCTCCCAGAAAGTGAAACACATATATCTCAAAGGGCATCCAGAAAAAGCAAGGGGATTATTTTTTTCTTTTCTTGTTTTCTTTGTTGAAAGTGGAAAAAATAGGAATCACTTCACTTACCAGAAAATTAGCATGTATGTGGATATGTGGATATTTATTACTGGAAGTTGACTTCAATGTCATTCCACAAAAGAACAATAAAACAAAAACCTTCAATTTCTCAGGGTGGAAAGTAAAAAGCAAAGAAATTTTTGAAAACCTCCATAACCCATACTGTAGAGGATAAATATTGGATGACTTATTTACAAAAATCACTGATATTCTAAACAAATAAATGGCATTTCAGTACTAAAAAGGCTCATGTATGGATACCAACAACCCTAAATAGTACAATAGCCCTTGCTTCATGAACCATAACACCAATCTTACGAGTTACAGAAAATTCTGAATTATCTTCAGTGCTTTCCTTGGGCACGAATTTTATCTTAAGAAATAATTACAAAGGGCAAAACGAAGTGCTCAGACTGGCGCAGACAACCAGGTAAAGGGCCAGGCAGAAGGACTAGCTTCCTTTCCAGGACACTGACCTTCTTCTACACCCTAGTACCTTCCTGGTCCACAGAGTTTTTAGAGGAGGCTTGGGAGGCGAGGGGACCGGTCACTCTTACATCCTCAAGACATCTCTGGCCGCTCGGATTCGCCCTATGTGAATCTCGCAGTCCCCCACCAAAACTCTCCCAAGAAATCCTTCACTTCTAAGAGGCCACTCTCTGAGAACCTCCGGAGCCCTGCACGGACGGAATCGAGTCCCCACCACCTGGCTGGCGCCCCACCGCCCATCCTGGTGGCGCCTCCCGGCTCTGGCCACAGGGGCGCCCGGACCCCGCGCTCACCGGATGATCACGAACATGACCAGAGAGTTGCCCACTAAGCCCACGACGAACACCACGGAGTAGACCGCCGTGATGATGACCGGGATGGCCGGGGAGATGTGCGCGGGCTCCAGCGGCGCGTCCTCGGAGCCCGCGCTGCTGTTGCGGTCCTGCTCGGCCCAGCCCGGGAGCCAGCCGCTGCCGTTGGGAAGCAGGCAGGTGCTCGGGGCGCAGGTGGGGCCCGGCTCCCCGCGGAAGATCTGAACCGGGGACTCCATGGTCGGGCAGCTGCAGCTGGAGAGCGAGGACAGGCGGCACCTGCGGGGCTGCGGGAGCGAGAGAACTGGCTGCACCCGGAGAGGCAAACTTTGCCCACGCCCGGGCCAGAGCGCGGAGGCCTGCGGCGCTGGGAGCCCAGGCCCCGCTAATGCCCACCCTGGCCGCAGGTCCCCGGGGGCGGGTCAGGGAGGACGGACCTCTCACTGCCACCCTGGCCAGCAGACGCACCGCTGGGTGCCGGGTGGGGCGGAGAGCGCTTGCCCCTTTTCCCCGGCTCTTGAGATGCCCCCTCCCTTTCCTAGGCATGGTCCCCTGGTGGCACTGTCCCCAACTGTCCCCGCTCTGAGCCCCCCACGGACAAGAATCTCCTCGAGCACAGAACCCTCGCTCCCAAAGACTGCGCCTCGAAAGCCCAAAGCTCACCTCTGGCTCCCGGAGACGCACGGAGTAGTCTAGGGAGCGCCCCGGCGGGTGCCGAACCGCGCGTTCCCGGGGCGCGCTCAGCCAGGGGCGCCGCCGCCCTCAGACCCCGGCCCCGCGCGCCGGCGAGGGCGCCTTTTCACCGAGCGCCGTCCCCGCCGCTCAGCGCGCGGCTCCCACGTCTGACGGCGACTCAGCCAAGCGGGACCGGCGAGGACGCGGCGGGCGCAGGCAGGCTCGCGCGGGCGGAGAGCTCGGGGGCCCGCCCACAGCCCTCCCGGCGAGGGGAGGGGCAGCCCGGCGCCCTTCGCTCGCCCCGCTGGCTCAGCGGCGCGGGAACTGCCCCGAGCCGCGCGCAGCCTCTCCTGCATGGCTCTGCAGCCTTCCCAGCGGCCTAAGACACTGAGCTGTGCCGTTTAGACTTTGTAATAAGGAAGGGTGTGCCTATTTAGTGCATCTGGATTATTCATAATGTGTCTAGAATTTGTAGGCAGAGTTCTCAAGACGTCTTCTTTCAAGTGAGGAGAAAAATCGTAGTTTTGTTTATTTGAATGACCAATCTAAATAAATTAGCAAAATGATCCAGTTAGAATAAGACCAGGTCATAAAATATTAATGATTTAATATATGTACATGGACTATTTCTGCTCATTCTGTTCCTTTCAGTCTCCTCTGTCTAACTGGGACGACACGCAGAGAGCACCTTACGGGTATTACCTGTATTGCGTGGTATTACCTGCGGAAAAACAAAACACTCGCCTTACACTCAGGCCTCAGTGTTGGTCCAAGTAGGTGACGATGTCTCTTTCTCTTTCATTAATCCCTGCAGCCATCATGTTCTCCTCACTTCTCCCTCATCATAGCACCTTCTCTATGATACCTCGGAGAACCTGAATCCCCACAGAGAAATTCAGTCACCATCATTTCTTTGCATAACTCTGCCAGTCCAAGGATTCTGTCAGATTCTGTTGTGTGAAAGAGGACCTTAGGCAAAGAGATCCAGGGAACAATGACGAAAACAAAGGAAAGCAAATGTGAGTTGAAGGAGGGGAGCCAGGAGTCAGCCACCGAGGTGAAGATCCTGAAGGAGAGTGGGGGGTTCCCCTTTCCCAATTGGGTATTGGAGGCAGGATGCTAGGAGTCCAAGGCACTTGAGTTTCTGGGGTGGAATCCTTGTCCAAGACTCACTAACTTTTTGAGACAAATATAGCTCCTCCACTGCTTTCCACAGCTGGCATCCACGCCCACACCTGGGCACCATAATGGCTGATACAGTCATTCCATCCATCCGCTGACAGCAGCAGAAGGCTCTTACCTCTTCCAAGATACTGTGACCCCCAAAGAAGGATTTGACCACCAGAGTCTTACCAGGGCCTGGAAATGCACAGCTCTCTTCAGCAGTGATATGAAGAACAACAGAAAAGCTCCCTTCGCCCAACAGTATCCCTCCAACTCTGGGAACCTTAGGAGTTTTGAAAATAAGTATTATCAAATCTATTTCTTTTAAGTCTGATTGCAGACTTTCATTAGAGGGTGACATCTGCTTTGACAAAACATCAGACCTGCTGGACCCTAAGTGTGCCTGGGAGCTCCCCCTCTGTTAGGAAGATGGCAGGCGAATCTTCTCCAGATGTCTGGAGCTCCTTCCTGCTGGTGAGATCCCAGGCCACCACCCAACCAGCTCAGCAAGACGTTTTGTTTGAAGTTCACCAAAACTGAGCAGTATCCAAGTTAGAAAGAAAGCAAAAACTATATGTTAAAGGAAAATAGCTGGGAAGTGCAGAATTATTCATCTGTCTACATTTCTATTACCTGTCTGTCTATTTATCTATGAGTTCGTACACTGAAGATACAACTGCACTTGTGCTACACACTTTCGAAAGGTGTTTACAGTGTCTGTCCTCCTTTTGCACTCATTTACCACATTGGTTCCCTTCTCACTTAGCACGCAGGTGGCTCACACAGCTGGTGATGTTAGAGCTGGGTTCAAATGCGGGTGTTTCTGGCTCTCGCCATATGCTGACTGAACAGAACAATTTCATGTAAAGGAACAAATGCAGAGTCACTCTTCCCCAAAAGACAAAACAAATATAGGAGGGAGTATTTAGCAAGGGCAAAAGAGAATAAAGAAAAAGGTATTACTTGAAAAGATTTAGGTAAAGTTTTAAAGAGGTAAAAAATTTTAAAGAAGTTTCCAAGTCGGTATAATTCCAATAATTCAAACTCTTGCTCTCCCTTTCTCACATATCCATAGTGTGTGTGAAGGGGTTTTGCTGGGAAAATACTTCTGTAACAAAAGCAGATGGTAGAACTCAGCCGGGGATTTGTAAACTATAAGATGATTATTCTCATCATTGATAAGAAACTTCTATTGGTTGAGACAGTCTTTTTGTGTGTGTGTGTGATGTTTTAATAGTTTTTAACATTGTGAAATTTTGGGTTGTACATTTTTGTTTGCCCATCACCATATGTATGTCTCCTTCACCCCTTGTGCCCAACCCCCAACCCCATTGCCCCTGGCAACCACAATACAGTTTTGAGACAGTCTTTTGAAGGCAGAAAATTACTAATTATGATAAAAGTAGTTTTGTTTCATTTGGATACCCCTGTTTTTTTTCTTTTTTACCAAATTAATGGCCAAAATAAAGTGAAGCCAAAATGGGCAGAGCATTAAGAAGCCTTCAGGCGGCCCTGGTTGCCAGGGGAACCTGGCCTGTGTCTCTGAACACAGCGAGGGAAGCTGCTTATGTGGAGCCAGGTTGTCAGGGGTATGAGATATTATCATAATATTGAAGAAAACCTCTAAAATTGAAAGGAAAAATAAACTACTAAAACTCTGTACGGTATTATACACTGATATAAAGCACATGCTATAAAACTTACTAGCACTTTATCTTTACTTGCCATTCTGCTCAGTGCAAACGCTCTGCTTATAACTGCAAGTAAGGCACTGTTAAAGTGAAAATGTGTTGCCAAGGATTTTTATTGGTTAATGCTACAAAACATCTTGGGTGGTGGGTGCTTTGGCGTTTCTGTCATATAGACCAGACAACTCACCAGTAAACTGTGATCAATTCATTTTCTTGTGTCTCTGACAACAGACATAAACCTGCAACTAATGTATAGTGTAGCTGAAGAGAGCGGGTACGTTTGCTTAAGACCCCAGGTGCAGCCAGTGCAGCCTCAAGGAAGCCCGAGTGCAGCCAGCCCCAGGTCACCTCACTCATCAGACGTTGCTGAATGTGCGCCGGTGGCAGATGAGAAGACAGGAGTTGAAACTGCAACAATAAACAAGACAAAGGCAATCCCTTCCCAAAGGGGATGTACAATCTGGTGTGAGAGACAGAATCTAAATTTTCAAAAAACTTATGAATGGTTAATGACAAATACAGTTAACTGGTAAGTGTTATGTAGGAAAAGTGTTTAATAAAACAGAGTAGCCAACAGCCAATGCAGCAAGTTTGTGCAACATAAAAAATGGCTCCCCTTCTTCCAGACACTTTACTAATATCTGTCAGCAAATTGCCATAATAAATACTCAAGTCCCCTTCATGTCTTTGGCATGAAGGCATCCTGTGAGCTTTTGCAGGTGTACAACCTGCACATGTTTGTAGGGGCCTGAAGACCAGATGTCAGGGACCCTTACTCAGTACAAAGGCATCAGGGAAGTCCTTCCTGACCAGGTGGCATTGGAGCTGACATTTAAAGACTGTGTGGTAGTTCTCCAGGTGAAGAGGAAGAAAGGGACCATTCTAGGCAGGGAACAGTGTATATGAAGGACATGGATGGGCAGGAGAGGGGCACATTTGTGAAAGTGAGGGGAAGCCAAGCTACCTGAGCCTGGTGCCCAAGGGAAGTGTGGCACAAGATAAAATGACAGTCAAGGCCTAGATCATGCTGAGCCCAGCAAATAAATGTTGAAGATTTTGGATTTCAGCCTAAGAGTCAATCAAGAGATTGAAAGATCTCAGGCAGGAGAATGGCATGCTCAGATTTGGGACTTTTGACATCACTTATCTCTGATTTGTAGAGAATGTATTGGAGGAGACAAGAGAAGAGGTGAGAAGTTCCATATTGAATCAGCATCATGTACTGTTATCACTAAAAGCATCATAGTGGGTTTCATGCCTGCCTTATATAATAAATGAGGGGTAAAATGAGGACTCCCATGGTCCTGCAGCTGGCGCTTAAACCTGAAACTTCTTACGTTGAAAACCTTGACTGAACTGAATCCACAGATTTGAAAATTCACTGTCAGTACCATGCTAGGCACTAGGTTGGGGAGTGAGAGAAATTATGGCAACAAAGCACAATAAATGGCATAAAAGACATATGGGCAGAATTAGTCCAAGGGAGTTCCGAATTATCTCTAGCAGGAGAGGAAAGGCGACGTCAAGGTAGGGATTGAAATTTGAGCAGGAATTTACCAGGAAGAAAAGGCATGGAAGCACAGAAGCAAAGGTAGGAAAGCCTGACACATCCTGGTGTGTTTGCAGTGTTACCAGCACCAATGGTGCTAGGGTAAAAGCCAGGTGGAGGATGGAGGGAAACAGAAGTGGAGAGACAGAAGGTCAACTGGGCTCAGATTGAGGGGCTGTGCTGGGCTTATGGGCGGGCTGTCGGTGGTTGTGGTGGTTGATGGGTTTGAAGAGGGCGTGTTTGGAGAGAGAACAGTGGTAAAGTTATTGTAATGGTCTGGGTAGGAGATGATTCAACCCTAAAGCAAGACCATTGCTAAGAAAATAGAGAGGAGATGACAGTTTTGAAAATCATTTAGGAAATTCAATTGGCAAAACTTGTTGTTTGAATGAAGGGAGTTTGAATGTGGTTTGAATGGAAGTTAAGGAGGAGGAAGAGCCTAGAACGCTTTAGGCTTATGCTTGGGTGACCAAGTCAAATAAGGTTCCATTAAGTGAAATAGGAAATACAGGAGAAATTACAGCAAACGAGGGAGAGCATAATGAGCTCAGGTTTTGCAAAGCTGTGTTTGAGGCACCAGTGAGGCATTTGTTTGTGTACGTGGTGTAGGATCTAATGCTGGAAGCTTCAGTGTTGAAAAAGTAAAGGGCAGTTGAAGCCATGGAAGGAATAAGGGTGCCAAGGTGAGAATGGCAAGAATATCAAGATGATGAGACAATGCTGCAGAAACCACACCACTTAATAGAGACCCACAACAAAGACTGATCATAGGCATAAATGAAGAAGGAGAAAGAGAAACAGACTCAGAGAAATCAAGAGAAGAGAGAATTTCAGGAAGG